CAGGAAGCCATTCTAGCCATCAACACTTCATTGCTTTGGAACATCGCATGGTAGTATCAGCCAGGCTCTAATTTATTAGAACTCAAATGTTTCCAGATTAATCTGGGATGCATGTGCATGAATGGCATATAGGCATTCTAGCCATCAACTGGGTGCCATAGGAATGATGCATATAATACTATGCTAACCTAACCAGAGATCTCATACTGATAAGCTGGAGAGGTAAAAAGGAGGTCATATAACTAAAACAATTGTTATGGCAGACATTGTTTACAGCAAACACTATTTATTGATCAACCAATTAAGGTTAACCACGCTAATATACCATATGGTGCCAAAATTAATTCCTAATTTATTCCTTAATTCCTAATTTATTCCTTATTCCTTATCTACATGTCCCTTTAGAGGAGAGCAGGTGTGTATGAAATTCTAAGTCAGTACTAGCAACAACCTGTTGAGTGAACTGCAGTAGTTCCCAACGTTCATCTGTGAGTAATCAGCAGTATCCAAATGAATGCAAGAAGTTGATCAAGAACTCTATTTCTTGGCATATGATGTTTTCATTTTGTGAGCTACACCAAGCAATCCCAAAGTGTCATCTGAACTCTGAATACTGGCTCATTCTATGGCTTTTTCCACAAACTAACTTCACTTCAATAAACATAAAAGTCACTTCCAACTCTTCTACAGTATCGAATTTTCCATCTACATAACAGCCAAACCAACAATGATAAGGAAGTGAGGGTAGCAAAAATGCTGCCAAGAATGTAGTCACCAAGGAGAGGTTAGAATTGGATAGGTGTTTATAGTAGTTTGTCGACCATATTTCAAACATGGTAAGTCTAAAAGCACGAGCACACAAAGGCAATTTGAAGTAAGTTTGTTATCAACATTCCTGCTTCTGAAAGCGCCACACAATGAGCACTGGGTGTCAGCAATATCAGGGCTCTTCATCAACACAGCTGGCTTGAAGCTGCAGCTGGTGAGTGAGGAAGGCTGTCACTTTTACCCTTCAAATGAGACACCATTCAAAACAGTATCAAAGGTGGTGTTGAGGCATAATGCCACATTATAAAAGCACGTGCGGAGGAAGGTTATCAACGGTAACCAAGGTGGTCAACATGTAGCAATGCTCTCTTTTATAATGGAAAGCAATCAATAGCTCAGATGGCACAGAACATCCTACTTCTGCAAAAGCAATTCTATTTTGTGTCGTGCCAGCACCTGACATGTGTGAATAATGAAAAAGCATGGGTGGATAAACTGCAATTAGGGAAGTAATGAGTATTTGAAGAATATTAAAGCACCCCTGCTCAAATGACTTCAAGCACAATCCACCTCTGGAAGGCCCCTTGCTTCAATTCTGTTGGCAGCTTCACCCACCCAAATCCCATTTCCTCAAGGCTGTGCTTACTAGGTTTTTTGTAGCTCAAAGTAATTAGTGCCAACATTGCTGTTTGCACCCATGACCTTGAGCTGCAAGGTCTGCGGCTACAGAAACAGCTGAAGCAAGCCCAAGGTCAACCCACCTATGTAGACTGATGGGACAAGAGGGTCTTCAGCATAGCTCGCTTTTTACCACACATATACCCAAGGCAGTGGCAGGCATTCAGTATTTTAAAATTTCTTTTGAAGTGCGTGAAGAACATTATGCCTCCGTGGATTTTTGTTAGTCACATCAGGATTTTGTGAGCATCCTTCAACTCTCAAGCTTCTGCAAGTACAATGAAGAAAAGCTCACAAAACATGGCGGATTTTCGAGCCGAATGAGGGGATGTTGAAGCTTCCCTACTTTCACTCAGACTATGACTATACTCTTAGTCCATCTCTAAGTACCACCACAACCCCACAGGCCACACACACACAAATAAAAAAGCAGCTAGCAATGGGAAGTTATGAAATAATTCCAAGAAAACGGCAAGTTTTCTGGAAGATTAAGCAAACAAAAGCCCTCACACGCTGTCAAGTCTCAACAAAAATGAGAACTAGAAACATCAGAGAGAGACAGAGAGAGAGAGAGAGAGAGAGAGAGAGAGAGAGAGAGAGATATGAAAAGTGGCCATGGTCAGGAGGCCAGATGTGTCATAATACTAATGAGCAAGTCTTAGCCTCTGTACTAGCCCTCTACAGTATTTATAGACAGTGGTTTCCAAACTTTTTTAAAAGGCCCTGTTCCCTTTTAAAATTAAAATATGCTCAGTTCTGTCCACACTCTAGTCCACCCACCCTGATGCTCATAACCTCTCTGTATTCTCCAGGTAGCCCCCGTTTCTTGAAATAAGAAGAAACTGTGGGCAGGTGGCCAGATACAGCTGCATTCCTTGGCTTCTCAGGACCTAGCATGAAAGCTTCAGATTGAGGCTTCTATTTTATTCCACCCCAAGCTCCCATCCCTCATTGTACACCATCATTATATTTTCCTTATGGGATGGCACTTTATAAGTACTCTCATAAGTAAACGAATCACTCGGTAGGCAAGTCAGCTCCACACAGGCCTTTAAAAATTGGTTCATCAGGAAGGAAGCACAAAATGCCACACCCTAAATGCTGTTGCTCCTGAGCTTGCTGGTCACCTGAGAGTACCTACCTTTGCAAGTGGTCTACCTTTACAAGATATTAAGAGGCATACAGGCAGTATACAGTTAACATGACCGTTAGCCATGGATAGCCTCCATGAATTTGTCTAATCCCCTTTTAAAGAAATTCAAGTTGGTGGGCATTACTATATCTTGTGGTAGGGAATTCCATTGACTATCTGCCGCATCAAGGACTTGCTTTTGTCTTTCCTCCTGAACCTCCCAACATGTAACTTCATTGGAGGACCCTGGCGGCTAGTATTATAAGAGAGGCAAACATCTGTCTATCCACTTTCTTCACATAGTGCACAATTGTACAAACCTCTATAATCTCCAGACCCTTACCTCCCTCCCCCCCTTTAACCAAGAAGCCTCCCCATTACAGTAACTTTATCTCAAAGGGGAGTTGTCCCTGCCCCCAGCCCCAAGCACTTTCTTCTGCACATTTTCAAGCTCTATAATCTCTTTTTTGGAGATTATACAAGAACTGTGTACAGTACTGTATTCCAAAAGCAGTTGCATGATAAATTTGTAAAAAGATACTGTCCTAATGTTTATTGTAAGCTGATTTGGATACAGTTTACTGAGGAAAAGAGATTTGTCATCGTATTGTGGATATGGTGAATATTATTTATATAGTTGCACCATGCTGCAGAACTAACTTAGGGATTGTGAAATCGCTTTAACACTTTTTTCTTGGGAAATGTGCAGTGGATTAGGGAAATTTTGTTCAGGACATTATGAAATAGGTTATGTCAACACTGCTAGGATTTGTGCAGTATAATTTGCAAACTAGGTCCCATTTGTAATTTTTTAAAGAAACATATCACATTTACTGTAATTGACTTCTCAGGTGTATCCATGTGGGACATCATCAAATGCAATTGTCATTAGATGGGTACTCTTTAAAATGACCCTTAAAGGCCTGAGGAATGATTAATACCCTTGGTCCACTTTAATTTTGTATTATATATTTACATAATTGCTTTTAATGCTTCTTTGTCTTCATACAGGTCTCTTGAGGAGAATTATTGCAAAACACAGAAGAATATCAAGAGACAGCATTACAGTGGATCACAATACCATTTCTTAAAAACTAACAACTGACATAGTAAAATCCAAATACTCAAGAGTATGATGGAAGATAGAAATCACCTTTCACCTAAAGAATTGAGAGGGAGAGGGGGTGGGAGAATGATGGGGAAAGAAGAAAAAGGGAGGTAGAGAAAGAAATCTGAGAATATGTTAGAGGAGACAAAGAGACAAGATGGGAAGCTTAGTGCATGAATGGATACAACAGACAAGTAAAATGCCAAATGCAGATTGAGAAAATAATGGATTGACAAGGCTTGTGCTAGCCAGCCTGTAGACAAACACAAATGTGAGAACTGAACAGATAGCAAAACAAAGGGACAAATTAAAAGGAATAGAAGATGAAATAAGGCATAACTTTAAAATGAAACTTGCTGAAATAATTGGAAAGGCTCAAAGAATAGTTGGTCGGTTTTCTTGGTATACAGCAAAACTGTACAACTGGTATAGGAGGCTGCAAACAGCATTAATTCTGGAACACTGAAGCAAGTAAATAAGCCAGTGGAGGATCTGCAATATAGGAGCTGAAAGGTAGAACTGATCATCTTGAAGTTAAGGTTGTATGTTTAAGTAGTTTAGAAGACCAGGAACTTCATACAGAAACTTATTTATATCTTGGGCAAAGGCCACTTCTCAGTGGTTGAGTTTGCAGAAGGTTCAATGCTGAATCACTGGCACCTCAAGGGCAGGCTGGGAATGACCCCTGTATGTAACCCTGGAGAGCTGCTGCCAGTCAGTAGACATACAGGCTTAATAAGAACCTACTAGATCAGGCCAATGGCCAGTGCTTTTTTTCTAGGAAAATAGCCATGAAGTTGTTAAGGTAAGTGCCACACTTTTTAACAACAAAAAGAGGTGCTGGCACTGCGTACCCTGGAATACACCTGGGGGGGGGGGAAGGCACTGCCAATGGCCAATCTAGTCCAGCATCCTTTTCTCACAGTGCTGAACCAGATGCCTGTGGGAAACCTGCAAGCATAATTTGAGCACAAAAGCACTTTTCTCTTGTGTGGTTTTCAGCAATTAGTATTCAGAAGCTTTACTGCCTCCAACTGTGGATGGAGAGCATAGCCATCACGGCTCATAGACTTCAGTAGCCCTCTCCATGAACTTGTCCAGTTATTTTAAAGCCATCTAGGTTAGTGGCCAAACGGTTGATCCATATAGTTGGTCAAAGGTCTATCCCAATCTATCCCTGAGTAGGGATCCCATGCCACTTATCTGCCTATAGCCTGCCATTCTCTCCCCATCCCCCATTCTAGAGATCCTTAATTGACATCCAGGGTACCAGAGAGAGCAAGCACAAATTTGTATATAAAAACAATATAGTACCTGCAATAACCTTCTTTGGAGAATCAGATAAGCTGGACATCCAGACTTCAAAGTCCAAGAAAAGAAGCAGCAGAGAAATAAGAAAAGCAGAAGAGGAGGCATTAGAAATACAGAGAAGCAGTTTTATGGACCAGCAAATACTGAACAGCTTTTTTTAAAATGTGCACACAGAGAAACTATTTCCATAAAGCTCACAGCAAGGAAACAACCAAGGAGGTTGCTAAAAGAAGAGCATAAGAAGGCACAAAGTTATCCCTGTGGTAGAGTTTCATTAGTGACAGATACAGGCAGGGGATTGTGTAACTTTGGTCTAAATAAGAAAGGTCTTGCTTTGTTTTTGAATAACTTATTAGTAATTTTAACAAGCATAATACGAACAAGTGGGAAGTTGTTGACGTAGGAATGATTCACAGAAATGATGCACCTAAGGCACCTCAGGGCCTACATTTACAGTACATTTACAGGAGGGGTCCTAAATGAACATCCTGGGTGAGGGGCTGTGCAAAAAAAGGCTCTGTATCAGCAGCACCTGGCCATGGGATGATGCTTTCTTATTTTATTTCTTATTTTAAAAACATTCTGTTTTTAAACATGGACTACATGGCATGTACATGGCACAAATACTCATTATTATTTTAATAAAAAATGCATTATTCTTTTACACAACACAATGTTGCATATAGCCAAGTAAATCAGGGAAGTAGAAGCAAACTTCATTTTATTCCAGTAGTCATGATTATGCTATGATGTTTATACAGTATAGTCTGACTGTGGTTGCTGTATATCAGTGGAACAGATCCCAGTAGGGCTTGCATTTGGTGCCAAATGTTGAAGGTGCCAAACGTACGCCCTGCTTGCAGAGGAACAATCAGCAGCGCACTCTGTAACTGCATTTGTTTGGAATACTGTGCACAATTCTGGTCCCCTCTCCTGAAAAAGAATATTGCAGAACTGGAAAAAGCTCAGAAAAGGGCAACCAAAATGATCAAGGGGGCGGAGCAACTCCCCATGAGGAAAGGTTGCAGCATTTGGGACTTCTAGTTTAGAGAAAACAGTTACCTGATGGGAGTTTATAAAATGACACATGGCATGGAGAAAGTAGATACAAGAGAAGGAGAAAAACCTCTCTCTTAACACTAGAACTTATGGACATCCAATGAAGGTGAATGTTTTAGGACATATTTTTAAAAAGCAATTCTTCACATGGCGCATAGTTAAAACTATGGAATTCACTCTCATGGAAGGCCATGATGGACACCAACCTGGATAACTTTAAAAGGGAATTTGACAGATTTGTGGAGGATAATAGCTATTGGCCACGATGACAACATCATTGGCAGTACATCCCCAAACACTAGTTGCTGGAAACTGCAGGAGGAAAGAGCACTGTTGCACAGGACCTGAGTCCTGCTTGTGGGCTTCCCATGGGCATCTAGTTGGCCACTGTGAGGGCAGGGTGCTGATCTGCCCAAAGAGCTGGAAGTCCCCCATACTTGTTCTATCAGAAATGTAGAAGCAGTTGTAAAGCATGGAACAGCAAGTGAGGAGGAGGAAGAGAAATGTTAATTGTGTGCTTCACAACTGATGTCATGACAATCTAATTATCCCATCCAATGGCTCAACACCACTGAGTCCAGGATCTAAAATTACTTAGCTGCACCATTGTCCACAAGACCCTCTGAGTATGTGGTGCAGCAATAAAACTGGATTTGCAAAGCTAAGCAGGCTCCTGTATGGACTGAAGCCATCCAGATAGACACTGACATTGTTCTTAAGGCAAAGGTATGATTAGAGTGCTTCAGAACAAACACAGACTGGAGGTCACCCTGTGAATTTAGCACCTCATTTCAATCCACACTATCCTGAGCCAAGACTAGAGCTGTTGGTTTATTAACCAATTTTAAAATGTATTTTTAAGTTGGTCAATAAGCAGGTGATCAGCTAAACATTCATTAATATCACCAAACCTCTGTTTTCAGTACCTTTTAGATGGAACTGAAGTTTAAAAGATTTGAATTGTAAGCCAAGCTTTACACCTACCATTTGGGACCAAAATAAATAAGACTCTCAAGTATTATTTGACCTGCCTGACTTTGAGTTCTGCCAGAATGGAAGTGCAGGTCCAGGGCAGTGTCCAAATATACCCAGCATGCACCTGCAAGGCCATCACATGAAACAGTAAAAATGTTACTTGTAAATCACACTAGGTTGGTAGCAAAACCCTGTACCTCAGTTCATTCATCTGTAAAATGGAAAATTAAGCCACACATTCTTGAATGAGCTTCTGTCTCTGGGAGAGAAGGTATTGTTCCATTCTGAAAGTCTTAACCAAGTGTACAAGGGTTGACTCTGGTTACTTACTGGCACGGGGGGGGAGCACTCTGCACATGTTCAGTATGCTCAAAGACATTGTTATTTTAGATGTTCCAGAAACTGAGGCCTGGCTAACCCTTTGCCACGAGGCTTTTATTTTAAAAGGAGTTCATGCATTAGAAGGAGCTCACACATGGCAAGTTTAAAAACACTAAACCAAATACGTACATACTGTGTCTAGCTATTGAGGTTTCTCTGGATAAAGAGAAACAGAGGTGACAGTATAATGAAATAAAGCCACAGAATAATTCCATCCAGGGAAAATACTCCAGAACTCCCCAACTACCCCAAACAGAGTTTGCACTGACCATGCCAAACCAATATTGAAAGAGCCAAAAAACAGGCAATGATGAAAAATATCTGGAATAAGAAAATGCATAGAGCTTATGGTTCTATTGGAACCATATGCTCCCGCAGTGGCACAAGATACAGTTTTTAAAATAGTATGCAACTGACCTACTTGGTGAGGGGGGTGGTGAGATTTCTATCCATGACTGGTTTTTTTGAAGGAGCAGCTGAAGTGCAACCAAGCTATTTACACAATTGCCATTTAATCAGATTGCCCTGAATGCTAATTGGTTGTAAATTTTTAAAAGAAGCATTTCCCCCCTACACACACACACACACACACACACACACACTTGTCAACAGCAGTTGAGCCAAAGCAGAGCACAGGCGGCAGGGAATGTAGAAGCATGCAAGCAACTGGCAAGCTATATTGTAGATTTCCAAATAAAAAAGATATATGTACATATAGGAAGAACACCAGAGCTCCCTGTGTCTGACAGCAGCTAGACAAAGATGAGAGTGCTTCTGAAAGGGAAGACAGCTAGCATTTTTTTTTTGTTCTGAACATCTGCTTAGCATTACTTTTAAGGGTTTTCTAAAAAGATTAAAAACTGCACGACATTTATATTCTAATTGGTCCCAGCCTCTACAACCTCCCCCCTCCCATCACCAACAATACTATTGCGTGTAACCATTGAGCCCCATTGTGACAAAGGAGGGGCAGACACTGCAGTAGGGATTGGGAACCTGTGGCCCTCCAGGCATTGTTGAACTCAACTACCATCCTCCCTGGCCATTGGCCATGCTGTCTTCGGCTGGTAGAAGCTGAAATGCAACAGCATCAGGAGGCTACAGGATTCTTGCTTGTTATGGATTTCATATAAGCCACCCTGACTGAAAGGCAGGATAAAAATGGTTTAAATAAATACAAAGTGATCCATAAAACTGCTCTAGTGCATTTTTTGCTTTGAACAGTCCAACACAATGCATGCATGTACATTTAACAAAAACTTTCTGCAAGGGATTTCTAGTGGAAGTTGCCTGGCTTGCAGTTTAATTACATGGATAAGCCACTTCAATGTGTTCAACTTATCATGTGTACACTCAGACTTGCAAGAGATGGCTAGGGAGGGTCGGCAGTGGGTCCAGGTGGTAGAAAATGCTTATCATGTGAGGGAGTAGTTCCTGCTGCCCTGAAGCAGTTAGGGGTCCCGCCCCTCAATTAGCCACCCATGAAACTAGTGGTATACAACTGCCACCCAGAGGCAAATACCCCCTTTTGGGGCAAGTTGCTCAAAATGGTGGTGAGTGTCCAGAAGTGCTTGGAAAAAGTTATTTTTCTGGCTCCATTTCAATTTGGCTTTATTGTTTGGCTTTGGCACTGAAGGAGCCTTAGCCACGTGACCTGTGCTGGGAGAGGCAAAGGAGGAATGCAACCCTGTTAGTTCTCCTAGATCTCTCAGCAGCTTTTGATATCATTAACCACATATCCTCTTGGACTGGCTCTGTGGGTTTGAAGTTAGGAGCAGAAGCAGTGTGTCTATCTCAGGGGTCAGCAACCTGTGGCCCACGGGAGTCATTTAATTGGCCCACGAGCCGCCCCCCAACCAAGCCGCACGCTCGGCGAGTCCCCGCGCACTGCACTAAACCGGTGCAGCGTGGCGCAGGGACTCACTTCTGCGGCACCGAAAATCGCGTTGATGAAGATGCCTGCCATTGTGGGCACGCGCGCTCACGCACATGCGCGATCTAGCCCATGGAGTGATCTCCGCTGGAGTGAACCGGCGAGGGCGGGGTAAACCTTGCCGACCCCTGGTCTATCTGCAGGGCAGTGTTCAGAGACTGGCAGTAAGGGGCAGGGCTGCTCTTCGGTCCCGTGAAAAATACGCTGTGGAGTTCTGCAGGGTTTCATATTGTCCCCTATGCTTAACACCATTATGAAGCCACTGGAGTGCCTCTCTTTGCATTGTTCTACCTAGGCTGCAGGATCTGCCAGGTAGGGACTTTTTGTCACTCCACCAGTGAGGGGAGCCCGAGATGCTTTATGTTAGGAAAGGGGCTTCTCTGTGCAATGCTCTTCCCTTGGAAGACATTGTTCAGTTTTTGGTGCGTGCAGAAAATCCTTCTTCCCCTAAAGACCACCTCTGTGTTATAAGAAGGAGATGAAGCAATTCAGGTTGAGATCATTTTATTGAGTGATTTTATTGTATTTAAATCCCAAGAGTGCTTGCTATTAAGGGCAGGATATAAATTAACAAAATAAAGCAACTGCACATTTATTGATCTTCAAAACCAGGCTGCCTGGAAATCCTTCTCGTTTTATCTGTATCACTTCCACCAGTAACAGGGAATCCCACATGTTGTGTAGTTAAACCCACCTTGTA